CGATATTTTTTGAACCTTTAACAGTTATGACTTTTCAGAAAAGTTTCATAAAAGTTATAACTTGTTGAGAAAATTCACAACATTTCTTAATTTTCACAACTCGTATGAATTTTCATAACATGATTGTTACTTTTCACAACACCGGTTATGAAATCACGCATGTTATTAAAATTAATAACAAAAATGTTATGAATTTTAATAACATTTTTAACAGTGCAGGTGCCTGCATGCCACCCGGTGGGTAGGCCAACCCGTCAAGCAGCTGTGTGAAGATGGTGGCCGTGGCCAGGCGGGTCGCGAGGCGCCCCAAGGGGCGCGACCGCGACCATTGCGCAGTGGCCGTATCGCAAGCAGGAAAAGCGGAGACTCGACGGAAAGGAAATGAGTTGGGAGCCCTCCCATTGGGTTCAAAATAAAAACGAAGAATGTAACGAAGTATCATATTTATTTGTTATGGAGATAAGAACAGAGGATGGGTGGTGATTAGAAATAAGATGAATTAATTCTAGTGACACTTCAGTCTGGTATTCTAGAGTTGGTCAATTCACTATATTTCCTTTTAGTTTACAACAATGCTCGGCTGTTCAGTGGAATGCACTCGAGTCTGCGAAGTGTCCGTCGCGCAGGACGGTGGGTTCGCAACTAAAGCTAGACACGGCTCAGCCGTGCTTCTGGACATTCTGCTGACCAGTACCTTATGAGTCGCCGCGACGGCCCACATGCCTGGCGGGTCATTTAAACCTAGCGACGCCGGTCGCCTTGCGCCCGGAGCTCCTAACATATTACAATTGCACAGTTTGCTCGGGTACCAACAAGTGATCCTAAGGACTAAGTCTAGAGCGACATAATCTTACATTTATACTCCGGAGGCACTTCGTCGCGCACGGACGCACCGAAGACGGGTTGGCCCTAGCTGAAGTCGGCGGCGATCACCTTGGTCTTCACGTTAAAACGCGACCCTGAAACGATAATGCAAGGTAACATGCAACAAAGCAGAATGATATGTCAAAATATTGGTATCAAAGTCCACGATACGCTATAACAATAATCATGACCACCGGTGCAACTAAACTACGGAGACTTGGGATTCGTATGTGC